TTTTTTTTTACATTTCTGACATAATTACCTCATAATCTTACAGTGGTAAAAGTCTCAGAAAAAAATCAATGTTGGAAAATTTTCATGCGAACGTCCTTAATAAGCAATAACTGGACACTTCAAGGGCTTTTTTACTTCTAAAAGCTTAGCTCAGACTCCTTTAACATTGTTCAGCGACGTTGTTGTAAAAGCTAAGTAGATTATTCCAGATTGATGCATTGACTGACTCAACATTGTGCTATGAGCAGTCTTTAATCTTACACTGTGTTACAAAAGGGTTAATAATTAACTGTAGTTATAACTGCACAATATTAGAACCAGTTTAGAGCAGACACCCTGAATTAAGCAGACACTACAGGGTTCGAAATCTCCGCTAGCCCGGTACACTGTAGCCCGAGGCTAGTAAAAATTTGGTTGGGCTAGTAAAAAACCATGTTTCATAGCCCACTAGCTAGTAGCAAAATTGAAAGAAATTATATATAATTAGTTTACTTGAGTTCACAGTTGATTAAAAAAACAAGAAAGTTTAAATTGTAATGATAATACCAATAAAGAAGGCATAAACCTATCATCTTCTAGCGTCTTTTTTGTCTTGTGTGTCGATCGTAAACATCACTAGATCCCAGACTCTGCGCTTAATGGTCAATGTCTTCCACAGTCTTCTCCCTACCAATGTTGCGATGCCTTGCACATCACATCACACGATCATCTCGCACTTGAACTGATTGTAAAGATGGAGCGATTTTTGACAAATTATGAGGCATCACCTTGTAAAAAGGGGAAAATGGCCGAAACTGAAAGTACCAGTAAACAGGAAAGCGGTAAGATTTATGAGAACACTCAGAGAAAGATCCATTGTGGAAAAAATCCATTGTGGAAAGAAAGCTTCCAATGGCTTGAATACCATGTCATAAACAAAGAGGGCAAAATGTTTTGCTTTGTCTGCAGAAGGTATGATCGCTCAAGTTCTTTTTGTGTTGGAAACACGAACTTTAAACTTGCAGCAAATTTACTTAGCTTTTTCCTTGAATAACACATTAGGTTATAAAAATGAAAGAAAAAAATGCCATTCTTTATCATTTTAAAACACCTTGCAAACAAGTTTAGACTGAGGAAGGTTTGCGTGTTTGGGGTTGAAGTAGACCTCGAGGGAAATTGATCTGGGCTACCAAGTTGTGTTTTGGGCTAGTAAATTTTAGAAATCACTAGCCCGGTGGCTAGTAATGCAGGTAGCCAGGAGTTGAACCCTGCACAAGTGAGTGTCCCAAGGGTGTCTGCTTAATACAGGTTTCACTGTAAACAGTTTTTCATGTGTACACTGTAGCGTGCAGTTGAACCTCCTAAAGGAGACACTCGAGTCCTTATCAGAATGATCCAGGGTAGATGTACATGAGACATGGGTTTGCTTTGTGACAATAAGATATCGCTCATTTGTAATGTTAGTTTTGAAATTGACAGCAGCATCTAAATGTACTGTACAAGGTACATGTACCTTGATAATTTTATGTCTGTGTATGCACTTGCAGCTTCTGAATCACACTGTCACATGGTTTTTATCCAGTGCACTTACACACATGTATACATATGTACATTGTAACTCTTTGTGACAAAGTTTACCACTGCAATACTGTGTTACTGGTAAAAGGAGCTGCTACAGATTAACTGTCTCGAACTGAATTATAATTAAAAATAATATACACACCTCAGGCCAAAAGGCAAAAGCCAACATTCCTGCTACCACTTCCAAAAGGACAATGATTATCATGGCAAACATATACTGAAAAGCAACAAAGAAAAACTATACTTAATGGCAGTTATCTTAACCAAGTGGGTTCTCAGTACAGTGTTCATTTACATATAAGAATAATAATCACTGATTACCCACTTCCGACTTTCCTCATTATTACATATATAAAACTTGTACATGTATGTGTAGTTACTGATTACTCAATTCCTTCCAAGGATAATTTCTTTAGTAAGAAAATGAGTAAGAAATGTGAAGTATTGTATGATGTTGTGGTTTATCACTAGATACATGAATCAGTAAGAGGCAGCAGGGGCCGAGTATTTTACGTAAAATATAAAGAAGTAAAATCAGAAGCAAGGAGCATTTCGCACAATACACTATACAACTGGTACTTTGAAAGGCCATCAGCCGGATGAAAATTATCAGGGGTTCCTTTCCATCTCAGTTGCATTATGAGATAAGGGTCTTAAAGGCTTTTTGATCATTTTAAGATCATGATGATGCATATGCAACAAATCATATTGGCAATAGAAACAATGGTCACCCTTGGTACTGAAGGGGTACCAATCAATATGATACATGTAATAACTTTGTCTATATCAACACATTCTGTTGTTAATGAATTGAAGGGATACATTGAAAAAGAATAGCAAATTGCTTTTCCCTTCTTTCTAAAAAACGAGAATTTGACATGAGATCAAGAGTCACTTAGGGCTTTTGTTTCCATGCTCCTTTTAAATTTTCTATGTACATACAATGCAAAATTTCTGGAATCTACACAAAAATAAGATACTCACAGTTCTCAGGAAGCATATGTTTTCCCGAAGAGCACCTACTGTACCAAAAAAGGAGATGATAAAGATTAAGAAACCAACAGCAATCATGACTGCTGCTGGGTCGGTGGAGATACTGGAGAATTCTTTGTAATCACTCTTCTGAGTCACGGCCCAAAAGCCGACACCCATCATGACTCCACCAATACCCTAGAAATATAAAATAAACCAATGAATTGATGAGACCAAGTAGTGTACATGAAATAATTACATTGATCATTCCCTGCAGGGATTTCATTAAGGGCAGGGCACCAGGCAAATTGACCGGCTGTGAGGATAATTTTGCCTGCCTGGTTTGACCATATAGCAGAAAGTAAGAAGCTCAGTTTAAAAAGCTTTGCCTGCCTGTGAAAACCAGTTACCCTCTTACTAAAAATGGTAATAAAACCCCTGCCATGACCAAGGTTTGCAAAATAAAACAAAAAGGCACAACAAAAATGAAAAGTGAAAAGCCTCTATCTTTTCTATGGTATTGCTACATGTACAGATAAGAGGTGTGGTAGGTCAAGATATTGCATTAGTATCTACACAACAAACTACAGGGAAACTTGTACAAAGAAAGCAGAACCTCTATTTTAAGCACTGCACACAACCAAAAGTATTTCAGTAGAGACACCAGTCTCGGTATGCCCCAAACTTTCCATCCCAACAATTTCAACCAACACTTATCAAACAGACACCTTACATTTTGTTAACCAGACACCAGCAAGGGTCCTGTGGGTGGAATGTCCAGTTCTGTACTTGTTACAAAATATACTAGTTGTAGAAAAAACATTTACTACATGTATCTTCCGTTTGGTCAGAAAGAGATCTCTTTATGTTTTGAAATATACAAAGATATATGCATATTGGAAGTTTAGCAATAATTATTACGGTTAAAATAGCATAATTTAGCAACATAAACAAATGTTTCTCCAATCTAAAACCTTGCTTTTTTTCATAACTACAGTTGAAAACTCTTAATTTAACTAAAACAAGAATTTCTCATAATGAGATTAATCATCGATAAGGATGAATACAGTTTACTGTCCGGGGCTCGAAATGAAACCAAACATTCTGGAACGTTTTTACCGTTTCATTTCGGAGTCAGTGAAAGAGATGACTGATTTGCAGTACAAAGTCTTCAAACATTATTCTTTTTTTTATTATAAGCTTAATTTTAAAAGTATAAATTCAATCAAAAATGTGAAGCAAACGGCAGCAATAGGGAGTCCTTTAATTATCTGAACGACAACAATGTATTGAAACGTCGTTTCAAATTTTTCAGACCAGATCGAGGAACTCGAACCGATCCTACATAGCTCTCTATTTTCCCAAATCAAAAATGCACCAGCAACACGAAATCACTAATGCACGATTTAACTCGAGTCCTGATTCCAATGTATTAGACACTTGATTTACGAAAGACTAAAATTAAAATCAAGGATAAGCTTAAGACCTAGGCTAAACCGTTTCATTTTAGAGCCAATATTAAAGAGGGCGAACGACTGTAAAGCGACATTTGTGCAGCCATGGATCTCAGCGAATTTAACCTGTACATGTAACACAATTAAGCTTACGACTTGTGTAACCTATATGCTGTCGAGTTTGGCAGCTAATGTTAGTTTAGAAAACGCCTAAGGAAACCTGTTTTGATTGTTCTCTCACACATAACTAAGCCTTATAAACACGGGAATAGAGGGAATAATTTAGGATTACTTCGACACGCTGATGTCGAATACAACAACAATATTTAACTACTTACCCAATAAAGGAGGTTGAATACAAATAGGATGTACTTTAAAACCTTGCTAACTTTTCCGTCCTCCGCCATCTTCACGAGAAAGACAACAAATATTGGATGGAATATCCGAACTATGTTCCTCCTTTGGGGTGTGCTTCGTTCAACGACGCGGACATTGCATAAATTAACATATGCTTTCACATTGTTCAGTCCCAGACTCCTGGTGGTGTTTTCCATTTTGCCGCCCTTCTCATAAACAACCTGAGACCTCCCTGAGACCACCTTTCGGGCTGTTTGGAGGAGGAGGAGGGGTGGGTTGGAGGAGGGGGGGGGGAGGGTGCTTTAAAATGGCATGGGAAAATGTTTTGTAAAAACAGGTCGAAAGATGCTTTCCATTTATTGGTTTCGAAGCCCGTCTAAGAGTTGCTCTGTGCGCTGGATTTCAATAGCTTTTGTACACTAAAAAACACTAAAAGTGTCCACTTACTGCGACTTTCAATAACATGCGGACTCTAAGATTCAAAGTTCAACCGACAAATGCGTTTTTCGCTACCGTCAATCAAATGTTCGACGGCTCCTCCAAGCTTCCGACTACTGCCGAGCACTGTTTCGTTGTCTGGACTGTGCTCAACGATTTGATTACCGCGCGCTCGGCAGTAGTCGGAAGCTGGGAGGAGTCGCCGAACATTATTTGATCGACGGTAGCGAAAAACGCATTTGTCGGTTGAGCCTTGAATTTTAGAGTCCGCATGTTATTGAAAGGCGCAGTAACACTTTTGAACACTATAAACGGTGAGGAAGTTGGACGGACTCGTCTACGTCGTCTTAGAAGAAAGTTTAACAGACGATTAGGGGTACTCGGCGAAGAAAAAACATAAGAACTCACCACTTTTCTTTCTTCTTTTAGAGATGCCAAGTTAGTTGGTGCACAATGTATAACAGACAGACAGACAGACAGACAGACA